TAAAAATCTATGGAGAAAATGTTTCATTCCCTTATGAAACATTTCATGGATTAGCCAACCTCTTGAAACAGATTGCTGTTGGCGTAAAGACAACCAACTCCAGGACTCTGGGATAATTTCCACCCAGTTGACTAAGTTTGCTTCATAACTTCTGCAGTCCAATTCATTTTTGGTGAACAATATAGTTGGGAGCTAGAGATGAAGCTCAGTGGCTGTGTACTTGCTTTGCATAGATATGACTCTGGATTCCATCTCCAGCATTGGAAGAATAAAACAGAAGTGAAGATTACATATGAGTGTTTTTTTAAAAATTGGATTCTTGCTAAGTACCTCAGGCTGGACTTGAACTCTGACTCTTCTAACAGTCTGGGATTATAGGTAAAAGCCTCCACATACAGAAAGATTGTATTTTATTTTTTTGTCAGTCATGGGGCTTTAACTCAGGGCCTAGGTGCTATCCTTGAGCTCTTTTTCTCAAGACTAACACTCTACCACTTTGAACCAGAGCTCCACATCCAATTTTGTTTTTGTTTTTGTCAGTCATGGGGCTTGAACTCTTGGCCTGGGTGCTGTCCCTCAGCTCTTCAGCTCAAGGCTAGTGCTCTACCACTTGAGCCACAGTGCCACTTCTGGTTTTCTGGTGGTTTATTTGAGCTAAGAGTCTCACGGACTTTCCTGCCCGAGCTGGCTTTGAACCTCAATCCTCAGATCTCAACCTGCTGAGTAGCTGGGATTATAGGCATGCGCCACTGGCACCCGGCTCCACTTCCAGTTTTTGAGGGGTTAATTGAAGATAAGAGTCTCACAGACTTACTTTCCTGGGCTTCAAATTGCAATCATCAGATCTCAGCCTCCAGGGTAGCTAGGATAACAGGCATGTAGGCTATCATTTTAAAAAAATTAACTTATTGAATTTTAAACAGGATGGGTGAAAAGGAATGCCAATCTTTGAGAACATTAGCCAGAGTTAATTTATTAGTCAGGTTAAGCTGGGTTTTGCCCCAATAACAAACAATCCCAATAGTCTCAATGGTTTAAACTAGCAAAGATCCCTCCTCCCTCCACCCCCCCACTGGTTGCATATCCACCATAGGTCAGCAGGAAGCTCTGCTCTCACACAGCTTGGACCTTGCTCTGCAAACCAGGCCAAGAGAACAACCCTTCTCTGGACTATACCTGTCCCTGTTTGAAGAATTGCTCATTTCAGGGCTCCTTAGACAGAAAACTCCCAGGACAGAAAAAGACTTCAGCAGACAGCAGGGTGCCAGGAAACTTAGTCTTATTCCTTGCTGAAAAGTAGAATAGTAGAGAACTGTACAGATTTCCATCAGAAGTAATTGGGTGGGTTCTGCTATCCCAACAGATAAACGTTCATGCAACTCTAACAGACCTAGAACATGGTTCAGCTTGTGGAGAAGAATCAATGGTGAACTTAGGATAAATAGTATGAAAAAAAATCAGTATTAGAGTATGAAAATCAATAATTCCTGCAGAAGGAAATGTGATTAAAACCATAAAGGTCAGCTAAACAATAATCAAAAGGATTTTGAAGAGGAAAAAAGAATGTTTTTGATTTAAGTAACTTGGAGGAGGCTTCTTAGAGGAGGTCATTTGAGGACAACTTCAGTATAGGAATTTTAATGGACAGGGATGACAGGAAGAAGGGACTTCCAAGCAGAGGAAACAACAAAGGCAATACAGAATATTTTGGCACATCTATATAGTTGTGTGTTGTTGATTATATGGTAACAATGATGTCAGTACAAATCCTAGCTCCTAGGTGCCTGAGTTCCTGATAAGTATCCTAAGGTTGAAGGGGGAGTAATTAGGGCTATGTGTCATACCAACTTTGTGGCTTGTTTTGTTGCTGTTGAATTAGCATACATGCATAGGAGAATATGTATGATCATGAACACTCTGAGACCTACTTCTAAAAAGCTAATGGATTTGTTCAAAAACACACTGCTGACAGTATAGTCTGGATTTCTGGAAAGAATTTAGCAAGATGTTTCACTTCTACTTTCTATCTCCTTGTGGTCCTTAACAAAGAAACTTCTTAACTTTCCTAAGCAAAGCTTATTAAGAATGTCATCTGTTTTCTACTCCCCTAGCTCTCCTTTACCATGTTGTTTGATGCAAAGACTCTTTGATGAATTACTAAAGGGAAAAATAATAATGATACTGATGTGGCTATGGTCACTATAACAATGGAAGTGAGGTTTGAGATACAGGCTTGCCTCTGAGGTCATCAAACCAGGATGGGTAAAGTCTTCCTTTAGTAAGAAAAGGTCAATGAATATGGAAAAGTGAGTGAGAACATTCTGGAAGGGTGTAAATATGAAAGTATGAGTGTGTATGGACAAGTGAGCAAGGTTGTTGCATTGGCTGGGAAGAGACAGTCCTTGGTTCATAGGAATCCCATAAGCCCAGCCACACAGTTTCCATTGAGTGCTGAGTGATCAGAGGCTTTGGCCATCAACCACATTGTCATTGTACCCAAGGCAGGCTTGACTCAGAACTACCAGCTTTTCTAATCATCCAAGGAGCTTGAGGAATTGCCAAGAATGGACTATGTGCCATCCTAGGACTGGGCTAGGGCAAGGGACTAGCACTCCCAGAAAGCTTCTGGGACTCAGACCCAAGACCAATGAGGTTACCTCATATCTAGCACTGATATAATTATCCCAGAGAGTGCAGGTGGCTGTGAGCTCTATGCCTGGACTCTAATTTCCTGGCAATGCTAATCTTGATTCCACAGCAGAGGAGGTCCATGCTGTCACATCAACAACTCCAACTTCTTGACTGGAAAATATTCACTGAAGGGAAACTTGATTTGACAAGTGAATACTCACCCACCAGATTCAGGAGGTTAGCAAGCATGACCAATTAAACCTGGTGAACAGTAATCAATAAAATTTGATTGCATATGACCTATGATCTTTTATGTACCAATGCCACATCTGGGAAGTGGTGACCCATACCGGTAATCCTAGCTACTCAGGAAGCTGATATTTGAGGATCAAGGTTTGAAGCCAGCCATGAGAAAAAAGTCTGAGAGTCTCCTATCTCCCACTAACAAGTAAAAAGCTGTAAGTGGAGGTACGGCTCAAGTGGCAGAGCATCATCTTTAAGTGAAAAAGCTAAGGTACAGTACAAGGACCCCGAGTTCGAGCCCAATATTAACACACACACATAGGAGTCTACCCACAGTTACTTAACCAGTCAGTTGCAGAGTGAGGATTTTGTTTGTGGTTTCTGATCTGTTTTTGCTTTGACCAAAAATGAAGTTTAATTTCATAGCTAAGTGTAGAGGATGAGAAATAAGGACCAAATAGAAACTGTACGTAGGAGCCACTGCTGCAAGAGGCTGTTTAGAATAACCTCAGTGACCTGAATGGAGGAGGATATAGAATTGAAAAGATCTTCTTTTCCTTCCTATTCTAGGACAAATATGTCCCACCCCTACTTCTTCCCTCTCACCTGTTCCTATCTGGAACATTTGATTCGTTCCCATCAAGTTTTAGTGGGGAAAATGATTACAGGACACCAAAGGGTAGAGAATCAGGTCATGATGATTACAGACCAACTACATCTTGATGGATAAGAAATATCACCACCTTCCAGTCATAACTAAGCTTTATTGTAATATGTTCCAGAATTTTCAGACCATCACTACAACTACAAACTTGTAGGCAAGGTGATTTTTATAACTGCAGAGTAAATAAAATAGAGAATGACATTATAACAATAAATACGCCTTAGATATAAATATACATATTGAGATTTCACACATACAAAAGTCATGCTCTGCAAATACTTTTGTATACACACAATCTTTGTGGACTATTGAATTCCAGGACGTGTCTTCAAGGATTTACATGTGTATTTTCAAAGAGATTACGTGGAAGCAACACATTAGAAATCTGGGGGCGGGGGAAGGGAGAAGTATCACAGAGCAATTTTTAAAATATTTAATATGTTTTAGTTCTATAAAGAATGGGCATTTTGTAAGTATTACAAACAGTGAAGCAAATATACTAGCTTACAGATATGTACAATTTACTACTTTAAAATGCAGGAAGGTAAGTTATATAATATACATAATTTTAGATATAATGAACAATTCAATATTGCTCTGGTGTTGGCCTTGCTGCATTGTATGCATGCCCATGGCTTGTCCCTAGATGGAGAGGAGACCAGTGGGGACAGAAAGGGAACTCATGGAGCCCCATGCTGAATCCCAGAGTGCCATCATCTTCAAAGCAGTATTTTGAGTTTTATAAGATACTGGGGCTAGGTCAAAAGCGTCTGTGCCCTTGTGCAATGTAGGATGTGGTCTCAAGAACCAAGACTCCTTATTTGGAGATGGGGGCCACATAAATGCTGGAAACAAACCATCAATGGCATTAACTCCTCAAACCCTGAGTCAGGAAGGAGCTCCTAAAGATGAGGCTGACATCCTCAGTCTACATGATGATCTGAGAATGAAGCCCTGGGATGGAGGTTTCCCCAGCCTACCTTTCTCTCCTATAAACTCACAGGCGAAATACAAAGGAAGACAATGTATCTTCAATGAGCTCAGATTGTCAATAACTGCAAGCTTTTCGTACTGATGCTACCCTCAACACTTGAAACTGTGGAGTCTGACTTTAAAAAGCTAAAAGAAATCCTGACTCAGGATCAGTAGGAATGGCTTACAGAAAGTGTTGTGATAAAAGCTTTATTAACACATGGCAAAGGCCATACCTCACTGCTACCCAAGAACCCACCCCAAAGTATATGTTCCAATTGGCCATGAAGTTCTGGCCTTTCTTCTACTTCTCCCACACTCAAATGACAAGTTGATCATCATTGAGAATAGAAATACAATATATATATATATATGTATGTATATACATATGTATATACATATATATATATATATGTATGTATGTATGTATATATATATATATATATGGGCAAGTTGAAAAAACTGATATTCCAGAACATCCAACAACTCATCTCTCTCTCTGAGCGTGAAAGAATGGCCTTTTGGAACAAAAGTCCCTGCATGAGGGACTTAAAGGGGTCATGGAATTTCCCCAAAGACTCTACACTCCCTGGCGGCTCCCATACCATGCCCTTCCTTTCTCAATGTGACTCTTTCCCTAGGTAAAGACAGGAATGTTTTGTTCTAGAAGACCAAGGAGATGGTAATTACCATGGAGCCAAATGGTTCTCAAAGGCACTTCCTATACACTAATGGCATCACCAGGGTGGGTTGTAGGTAAAGAAGAGAGGACATAAGCACACAAGGGAATTGAATTAGAAAGGAAAGCTAGGAGATCCTGAGATCTCAAACAACTGTGTTTTGGAAGATTGTGGTGTTCACATGGCTGTTATCTGCATGGGAGGAGAGGTCAAAGAAACAAGTAGATAAGTCGGTACTCACAACCCTCCCCGGCTACCTGCAGGCCCATGAGGAGGAACTACAGCTTCCTCTGCTTCCCCAGCAGGCAATGGAAAGGACTGTTGAGGGAAAGAGGATGGGCCAGGAGTCAGGTATGGCATGTGTTTGTTCTGTCAACTGAAATAGAACTCACAGGTTCTGTCAGTGGGAATTTTCAAGAAGGCAGAGCCTAGCCAGACTCTTGGATGGCAGATGGGTTAAGCTGAGCGGGCGGTGCTAAGGACAGAGCTGCCAGCCTATCTGCAATCTCCATCACCTCCCACGCCAGCAGGAAGTAGTGGTGGTTGTAATTTGGTTTGAAGGATTAAGGGTACACACACACAACCATGAGAAAGAGATCGTTGTTCCTAGGGTAAATACTGCCTTGAACTGCTCTTACAGGACATAGGTAATGGATCCTGCAAGAGAATTTACTATTCTTTAAGATGCATTTTCCAGGAATTCACTTCCGAGAGCAATACATCATCAAAGACACAGTGAACAACTTCTGCTTCAAAGGATTTCATAAAGATGTAAAGTGTGGCTTATAGATGTGTTGGGTCACTTAGAAAATTGGATGTGCTTCTGGTCATTGGATGGCCCTTTGTTGGCTGTTTGCCAGCTGGGTATACATCAAGTTATTGAAGAGAAGAAAACCATCTTGGAGGGAGGAGGAAAGCAAGTCTAAAAATACCTATTTTATTGGCTTTTATTTAAAATCTGAGGGCTGGAAGAAATTACAGCCCTCCCAGGTCTAAAGCAAAGAAATTTCACATTTCTAAAATCCTTAAAGCATCACACCGTGGAATAGAAGGATGATGTTTTAATCATGTCACCATCTCTTTACTGAAAAACTGAAAAACTTGTGACACAGCAACATACCACTGGTGAGTATGAGAAAATAGACATTCTGAGAGGTTCCCATCATGGTGACTTGCTAGCTAGGTCTACAGGTATTAAATACACTCCTCAGGGAAGTTCAGGTGAAGATGACTGGGAAGTTAACATCCTTTGGAGGAGGCTGCATTTCATCTTTAATTTGGCTTACAGTATATTTAAGGGGACCACTGTAGTCCAGTTTGGACCAATTGGTCTTCTCACTCTGCCTCCACCCATCCCTCCCCCAAAGATGTTACTGAGCAGAGACAAGGCCTGGTATGGGGATGGTACCATCAGCTCTGACCAGCTTGCTCTCTCACACATGTGGGTGACATGTGTTCCCCTCAGCTTGTTCTGTGTACGCGGCTGTGAGTCCCCCCAGCTTCCCAATGGCAAAAACCTGCTCAGAAATGACTGCACCTCTCAGTTCCCTGGGATGCCAGGTGTGAGCAACTCCAAGGAGGGTGGCTTACTGGTGGTGGTGTGGAATGCCTCTTGAAAGACACAGGGCGTGTCTCAGCCAAATGCAATGTTTAACAGGAGGGCATCGTACATGCTGCCCTGACAAAGGGGTGTCACGCGGGGAGGGGAGTGAGGCCCGGATGATAGCTTGTGGCTCTTCCTGCAGCAAAGGGCTCTCACATGACCACACACTTGCCCTTGAGCTTCTCTTTCCTTTTCTGCTGCTTGCTCTTTTTGCCGTCGATCTGGAGGCTCACAGTCCTGCGCTTCTCCAGGTTGAGCAGCTCCTGAAAGAGCTCCTTGACGTTGTGGTTGAGCTTGGCTGAGGTCTCCATGAAGGCACACTTCCACGTACGGGCCAAGGCCTCGGCCTCGCTGCTCTGCACCTCTCGGCTGGGGCTCTCGTCACACTTGTTCCCCACCAGCATGATAGGGATGCTCTCCACATCCCCTTTGATCTCGCAGATCTGCTCATAGATGGGTTTCAGCTCTTCCAGGGACTGCCGGCTGGTGATGGAATATACCAGAATGAAGGCGTGCCCCTTGGAGATGGACAGACGCTGCATGGCAGGAAACTGGTGGCTCCCAGTTGTGTCAGTGATCTGCAGTGTACAGATGCTCTTGTCACAACTGATCACCTGCCGGTAGGTGTCTTCCACCGTTGGGATGTAGCTCTCCCGGAATGTGCCTTTGACAAACCTCAAGACCAGGGAGCTCTTGCCCACACCTCCTGCCCCAAACACGGCCACCCGGTAATCATTGCTCTGTTCAGGCATTTTGCTTTGAAGACTCCAGCTATCAGTCAGGAGACACCTAGCAAAGGAAACAAATGTTGACAGAATTAATACAAATACAAATAAAAGTTAATTTGTGTGTGTGTGTGTGTGTATGTGTGTGTGTGTGTGCCAGGACTGGGAATAAACCATATATTTTAATGAACAAATAGATCAAGAAAATATGATATCAAGAAAATGTGCTATCTCACATTTTATTATATATATATATATATATGTATATAAATGGAATTTTACTCATCCATCAGGATGAAAATTATGTTACATGAAGTACGTCAGGCCCAGAGAGACAAAGAGATGCCTGTTATCTCTCATATGGAGATGTCAGATTAAGTTTATAAATAGATACTTCAACAGATACAGGGATATACACATACACACACAAACATACTATCTAAAGTATGATATATGCAGGGGAGAATTGCAATGTTGTCACTCCTTTGAATAACTTATAGTTTAACAAAATGGACACTAGGAAGCTGCTACTTGTGGTGTCGAGGGGGAAAGTGAAGTTGGGGGAGGAGCACAGATAAATGAGGAGAGGAAGTGTGGGCAAATACAGCCTATATATATATAGTCTGTGTGTATATATATATATAGTCTCTCTCTCTCTCTCTCTCTATATATATATAGTCTGTCTGTGTGTATATATATAGCCTATATATATATATATATATAGTCTGTGTGTATATATATATAGTCTGTGTGTACATATATATATACATATATACACACACATATATATATGTGTGTATATATATATATATATATAAAACTGACAGAATGGGTAGGGTTGGGAGAGATGGGGAGAATGATGAAAGGGATGTCATTTATCAAGATGCACTGTACTCACAAACTGACATGCTAAATTGAAACTGAAAACCCTCTTTGTATAATTACTTAATGGTACAAAAAGAAAGAAAGAAAACAAAAACTTACAGAGGTTGGCTTTACTCTCTATAGCTTAAAAATGAGGCAATAGCTAGTGGCTAGCTAGCTACTAATCCTAGTTACTAGGACACTGAGTAAGATCTGAGGATTGTGCTTAAAAGCCAGCCCAAGCAAGTAAGTCCCTAAGATTCTTATCTCCAATTAACTACTCCCAAGCCAGAAAGTGGAGGTATAGCTCAATTGGTAGAGTGCTAGCCTTGAGGGAAAAGCCAAGAGAGTGTGTGAGGCTCTCAGTTCAAGCCCCATTATAGGCACACACACACACACACACACACACATGCAAAAGAAAGAAGAAAAGAAAAAAGGCAATACAGTATACTTTCATTATCCCAGCATAAGAACATTCAGATGTTATTTAGAAATTTCTACAGGTTGAAATCCAATTAATTTGTTCAATCATGTTTTCCATAAGATGTTTCATCTACTTTAAAGACAACTCTATGTCTCCTTATTTAACATGCACCCTGAGCATACTGCTCATACACAAGCCATAGGCCCAGGGAAATGAAAAGAGATGAAAAGAAAGTATAGGCAATATGAGAAATTTACCTCACCTCTCTCAACACCTCCCCCTCCCACAAAATCATAGCATATCTGTATTATTTTGCCTGAAGTACTGGTCATAGTAACAATTTTTTTTCTTTTCAAATACCATGAGAAGGAAGCAAAGAAAGAGGAAAGTCAGTATTTACTTCCTGTTTATATTAACTCACAAAATCCTTAGCACCTTATAGAAATCAGTATGTCTTTCAATGTTAAAACTGGGAAAAAGAGAACAGGAAGGTTATGTCCCTGATGTCACACAACCACTAAAAGTATGGGTTCAGAACAAAGCCATGGCCATGCCATAGGTTGCCTGTAGAAAGGGCAGGTCACAGGGTCCTGGATATCAGATCATCCGTCATATAGATGGTATGAGACCATTTACGAAAAAGAGTTGAAAGTTAACCAAGAAGCTTGGCTCATTGTTTTACTCATCAAATCTACGATGATTATTATATGCCTTATTTTTTAGCAATTATAAGCAGTTGAAGATTACCAGCATAGCTGTGTGAGTTACCTACCCGTAGCCATTGAAACTGAATAGAATGGAGTTTCTGTTCATTGCAGATATCACCCTTAGGCTAAAGGATTTATTGCTGTGCTCATTTTACTTATAAACTATCAAATATCTATCATCCTATACCTTCTTTGACAAAGAAGGACACATACTCAAATTAAACAACACTCCTATCGCTTTCCTTATGGTAGGTAAGCAATACAATAAAAGGAAACATGGTACCCATCTTTTTCTGCAGGTAAGCATTGCACTAATTTTTCACATTTCTGTTCTTAGAGTAACTGTGAAACACTAATAAGCATTGCTGAGCAATGTCATTTCCCCAGTACAGTAAAAATGTATCAGACATAATTAATTATGGAGGGTAATGGGTTTGAATAATGAATGTATTTCCCAAAGGAAAGAACGTCAGATACAAATCCAAGAAGACAACTTCTGATTTTCCTATCTACAAATTAGTTCCATGGAAAACTGAGTCATTGTACTATGGGATCCCATGCCTACCAAAACACTGAAGAAACATCAATGCTAAACCAGAAAATAGATACCCAAATAGATACCCAAAGTTTATTAACAACAAAAGATTGTCTCTTTGGAAGTTTGGTTAAATCTACTAAATGCTCATAAGATAATTAAGATCCATCTTAATGGTGCAGCATTATGACAAATTACCCTACAATTTAGGTACAATTTATGGTTGTTTTTTAAACAACCATAGCACAAAGAATCTGATTGGAAGCTCCTCTCTGCACTCTCAAAGTAAAGCACCCTCATTGCTTGAAAGGCAATTCTTCTCATTCAGTTTTTCTTGCCGAGTTTAAGGTTACTTAGCTCTAGACTCAAGTGGAAGAAGACAGTGGGTAAAGAACAAGTCCAAACAAGTTTGGAATCCCAATATCAGGAAAAGAGCTTCTGGGTCATGGCATATGCTCTTTATGAGTTTGCAGAATACGTCGTCAGTTGGGTCAAGTTGTCTTCATAATTAAGCTAGCAAGCAAACATTAAACAGGAAATAGCTACTGCTATTCATTTGTCCAGAGAAATATCTATTGAGCTTTGGCTAAGGGCCAGGCTCTGGGAAAGAGTCCAAGGAACAGTGGTGCAGAGGACCACGGGCAGGGTCTCTTTTCCCATGGAACTCAAAATCAAGTGGAACAGACAGAAATCAGAAAGATAAGTTCACAAATATTTAATAAATCACATCACAGCAAGTGCTGACAAAGGGATGTCTGAAGCAACCTAATCAAACCTGGGCTGCAGGAGCAGCTTCCCTACAGAGAAGACCAAGTACCCCAGACATAAAAGAGGAGCAGGACTCAGGCAGATGACTGACTGTGTAAGGCTCAAGGTAAATTGGTTAACTAGATTGGGGTAAATAACTCCATAGCAATCCTCAACTGTCATAGTTTTTACCCACGCTGTAAATGAGATTCTCACATAACAAACCCATTAATTTATGTTATAAATGCATTTTTAAATTTTTAGCTTATAATTTTTGCAAGGGTTTGAATTTAGGACCTTACATCTTCATTTGGATTGTTTGTTCTGCTGGTGTTAAACCATTTGAGCCATGCCTCCAGCCCTGCTTTGTGCTAGTTATTTTGGAGGTAAAGGCTCACAAATTTGTCTGCCTAGTCTGGCTTCTAATTGAGATCCTCTGGCTCTCAGTCTACTAAATAGCTAAAATTACAGGAGCAAGCCGAAGTCCTGTTGCTCTGTGGGAGGGAACCAGTGAGTCCAGGCACCATTAACCAAGGGGAATGCAAAGAAGAAGGTAGGTTTAGGTTTCCACTGGAAATCAAATGAAGAATAAATCATAGAGAAAAACAATAGAACATAAAGTTGATTCTTTTGAAGTATCTATAAAATTAGCCAATCTTTAGCTAAGATGATGAAGTGAAAAGGGGAGAAAACTGAAATTAATAACTCAGAAATAAGACAGGAGACCGGAGACTAACTCTATGGAATACAAGGGTTAAAAGGATTACACAGGGCTTTCACCCCTCATATACATGACATTAGATAGCTTAGATGAAATAAATACAAGTTTCCCAGATTGATGCAAAAGAAATTTTTAAAACAAGGATAGACTTGAGCTGGGAAGGTGGCTCAGTGGTAGAGTGCTTGCCTTCCATGCATGAGGCCCTGGGTTCAATTCCTCAGTACTAGATAAGCAGAAAAAGCTGGAAGTGGCACTGTGGCTCAAATGGTAGTGCGCTAGCCTTGAACTGAAGAGCTGAGGGTCAGTGCCCAGGTCCAGAGTTCAGGCCCCATGACCGACAAAAATGAAAAAATTTAAAAATTAAAAAAAAAAAACAAGGATAGACCTATAACAGATTGAATTAATCATCATCTCAGGTCTAGATGACTTCAATGATGGATTAACACAAACCATTAAAGAAAAACTAATGTTGGTTCCTTATAATTTTTTCAAAACAAACAAAAGATAAACTAAATAGAAAGTAACATTTCTCATTCTCTATGAATCCACAATTATGCCTGATACCCAAATCAGGTAAAATACTGTAGACCAATAATGCTTATGAACATATACATATATAGGATAGATATGTACATCCATAGAATATGTATATTCTTAACAAAATACTAGCAACATGAATCCAGCAATGCAATAAAAGGATTGTACATCATAGTCAAGTGGAATTTAAAGGATAGTTGATTTAACATTTATAAAATACTGTAATATGCCATATCAATAAAATTTGTAAACTAAACCAGACAAAAATGTAATGTCCATTTGTCACTTACACACACACACACACACACACACCAAGTACAAAAACACCAAATTCCTAAGGGCATGCCTCAACCCCACAATTTGACTTATATTTAATAGTGAACAACTGAGGTGATCCCAAAGATGAGAAAGACAAAAATGTTCACTCACTCATATAATATAATGTCCATTGAATATAAGGAAGAGGAGTTAGGCAAGAAAAATGAAATAAACCTAATCTACACTAGAAGTAATAAATGAAACTGTCTAT